TACGTCCTATGGAAGATCACTGACAATAAAAATACGATGGATGTCTGAAATCCCTCCTAGCTTTAATTTGGCTGTGGTCCAACCTATGAGCTCAACAGCGTTCCTGTTGGCTGCCATCAAATTCACTTAACTGTCTTGGAAAATGTCTGCGTCTGTTGGAACTTTCGAACTAGAGAGCATGTGGCTCCCGTGTCAACTAACATTTTGACCCGATTAGACCACAAAATTCAAACGCGACTGGGACAGCTGCACAATGCACGCTAGATACAGCCGGCACAGTAAAGGAACACCTTCGAGACCCACGCCGTCGGTTTTGCTCATAGATGTTCGCAGTAGCCCCAAACTTCAGGCGACGCAGATCATTTTGCTGTGGGCTTCTGTCCGATTCGATAGTGGGGCGGTTGGTGATGATAAGTGATTCACCCATAGCTACATCCACGCGTTCAAGTTTCTTCGCCAATTCCAGAGCCTCGCTCAGTTTCTGTGGTGGGTGGAACAAGAACTCTCGTTTGATAGACGGTGTATGTACCCCTTCAATCAAGTGTTCCAATCTACCTTTCTTCTGTGCCTCTCGATTCTCCTCCGCGAACGCGCGCTCGGTGAAGCGTTTCAAATCACTAAAGAAAACTCCCAGGTTCTCATTTGGCTGTCGGTAACGAGCTTGGAATGCCTGACGCTATTGCGTGGGAAGCAGTGGTAAGTCCAGGAGTCTTGCGAGTTTCTCGAAGGTTGCTGCGTTAACTTTTTTCTCCAATACTTTACTATCGGGCACAATGTCGAAGGCAAGTAATCCCAACAAAATTTTTCCCCACATCACCTCTGGAAAACTCAACATTTGCGCTCTCATCTGCTTCGCCCATCTGGGATAGTGCACACCACAATAAAGTTTTCCCGGAGCCGGAATCATGGGAATATTTTGAACGACTGTAGGTCGACGAGTTAGATCCTCCAAAATACCCGATAACTTTATCAGAACTGAAAACAAGTCCACTCCAGCTGCTCCTTTAACTTCAGCAGGAACTTCTAGAATCCTTTCTATTGTTTCCGACATGATTATCAAGGAGATCATGTCAGTGTCGCCAATATATGCAATATTCATCCAGTTCGGTACCCCAGGTTCTTCGGTGTAACAAAACTCAAAGTGGTGTGCGGAACAATAGTATTAGTCAACCTGGGTTAAATTAGTTTTACGAATCACAGAGAGATCACAGGCGTAAGCCTAAGCGTACCGTTCAAAAGGTTCTCGATCAGAAACGCCGATATAGTTGGATTAATCCGATGGCTAAGAACAAGCATGTGCCAAGGTCACGTCGAGCTGGAAAGCGAGGTCTAAATAACAAGTGCTGCGTTATCACCAGACATAAGCTAAGCTGCGGAGGCAGCGATGATCGAATGTGCCGAGCCCCTTTATGTCTGTCAACCTGATGGGCCAGGTTTCACAACCATTGGTTGGTGCATCCCGACTGCTTTATTGGGGTCCTAAGGACGATGAACACGTTTGGTTTGACACATCTGCCGATTTGGCTAGGAGCCGGCCCCAGTGGCGTTTCTGCTGTGAATTCCTTTGTCCACCCCCCTCCTGTTTAGCCTTCCCCTCCAATCACGCTCGCATTCTTTTGACATAATATAACTCTCTATTTGCGGCACGACAGCCGGCTGTTAACTCTCCGGAACGATGCCCTGGGGACTCAGCCGGTGTGCCACTGACTTTTTCTTGTCCTTTGTATTGCCGTACAATAGCTGAGGTCTTTTCCACCTGCAGCTAACGTGTATAATGTATGAGTGAATGTTGAACTGACGGCTGCGTTATAAACTCTACCCTCAGGGTGAGATTGATGTCGCATCTGCGCCGCAGGTGGGGGAGATTAGCAGAAGCACCTCTAGGTTTTGCTATATGCTTCGTAACCTCATCTTCGATCCCACGGGCGCTAATATAGCTGCCCAGGTGTTTGAATTCCTGAACGACTTCTAGCTGGTCACCACCAAGCGTTGGTGCAGGGGTGGGTCCCAGCTAATCTTGGAGAAGTACTTTGCATTTCGATGGAGCAAAGCATAGACCAAAACGATAGACAGCTAGTGCTAATCGGTCCAGTGCTGCTTGGCATGTTTCTGAGTTGTCACATATTAGGGCAATATCGTCCGCATACTCCAAGTCAAGAAGTCGCTCACCAGGAAGTTGCTCCACACTTTTTAGGTCGTGTCCAGCGAATGCGGTTTCCATGACTTCATCAGTAGCGAAGTTAAATAGGAAAGTTGACAGCGGGCAACTTTGTCTCACATCGCTGATGATACTGAACGGTGGAGACAGTTTGCCATAAACCCTCAATCTTCCCGAACTATGTGCGTACAGCGCTTTGGTAATGTTTACGTATTTATCAGACACACCTTTCCTCAGCAGACAGTCCCAAATGGCACGTGGATCGATTGAGTCGAAGGCCCTTTTTGTGTCAAGAAACACGACAACGGTGGGTCGCCGGTAAACATGGCAGTGCTCCAACATTTGACGCAAACTGATATGGTCGATGTAGCGTCGACGTCAACAGATCTGTATTTCACGAGTGCCAGTCAGTCTGTGGTGAATGATAGACGCAAGCAATTTAGTGGTAATTGAGATCAGACTGATTCCTCTATGTTTGCTGCGTTCCGAACGGGAGCCTCCCTTGAAAATTATGACGGTGACGGACGCTGCGCCCGTGGCGGGGCTGTACGCTATCGGACGATTTCCCAGGTGGCGGATTGGGGAATGTCTAATTTTTAGAGGTACCTTTGAATAAATCTCGTCTGTTTTGCAGGTGGAATGAATAAGCGGTCGCGGACAATCAGCTGCCGCGTCTCAGAACGTAGCAGGTTCTGGGCTGGTCACTTGGTTTTCCATCAAATACTGCAAGAGCTCCTACGGCTCTGTGTCAAAGCCAATGTGACCGGCTATGGGGTCACTGACCACTCATTTCTGTAACCAGAGGTGATTATTTAACAGAGAGTTAATGAACAACCTTGTTTGCCAGCAGCTTCTCTGTGGACTGCATCCGAACACATAGAGGCCCACGTTGCTGTCAACGGTCTTCGTATTCGCCCCGTTACCTTGCGGGTCAGGTTTTTAAGATCACAGGCTCGGGGTGGGGTCCCTTACGTCAACCCCCTTCCTCGGCCTGGACAACCGGGAAGCTGTCTGCCTATACAACACATGGATTTCCGCTCTCCTTCCCCTGCCACTTCCTCGTATTTGTTGTTGTTATTCATGGTTTGTGGCGTTCTGCTAAATCCAATCAGATTGCCGTACACATGCCCGGAAAAGCACTGGACTGCAGTTGCAGCTAGCTGGGGCTCGTCAGTAGTGCGCATCCATCGGATCCATCAGATTTCGAACCCGTGACCACCCTCAGCTTGAACAGCCAGTCAGCAGCTTATGCCACTGAGCCAAGGGGGACAGCTTCGACCCCTCATGATTTACCAGCTAACTGCGATATGGCGCGCCTTGTCCTCCACCTCCATGCAAGTTACGAAGGTTGCAGAGGACAGGCTTGTCCCCGAAGGACGCGAGGTCCACTAACATAGCTATGTACGGCGTATCATTTAGAAATAGTTACCGTGGATATATTTTGATGTACTCATGACTTGGAGATTTTGATATAATTAATTAAGGTTCCTCGCGGCCAACTGTTATAACGCTGCACCCGCAATCGACCGATTGATTCACGCCTACTGCTAAATCTGCGCCCTTACGCCTACTCTGTTTGACGCCTTGGCATACCCGACAGGAAGGAAGACAGAAGAAGACTCAGCAGACCAGAGTTGTATTAGGACAGAGAACGCTCATATTTATATGTCGGTCTCACCAATCCTCCAAACATCGCCTGGCGGATTTGGCTGTAAGCCCACGCTCCACACTTGATTGTCCGCACCGTCTGGCCACTTCGCCGTCTTGCTCAAGCATCCCAGTCTTCATCCGCCTACCCGGGGTCTGGCAACGTACGTGATGTCCGACGCGCGATTTCATCAGCTTCCGGTCAGACCTTGGCTACAAGCATGCTGTCTGATGCGCGATTTCATCAACTTTCGGCTGCGCCTTGGTAACAGGCTCACAGGGTCTGTCCCAAGCACGATTTGTGTCGAACACGCGTGCGTTGGCACTCAGGTTTCTCTCCCAGCTGTCACCTACTTCCAAATCCGATAGTCATTCACATGCCCGGAAAAGCACTAGACTACGGTTTCAGCCTTTTGGGCATCGTCAATAGTGCGCATCCATCGGATCCATCAGGATCCGAACCCATGACCACCAGCGGCATGAACCGCTAGTGTCTTTCAGGGCCAACCCTGTCCTCCGCAACCTTCGTAACTTGCTTGGCAATGGAGGATAAGACGCGCTATATCGCAGTTAGCTTGTAAATCATGACGGTCCGAAGCTGTCCCCCGTGGCCCAGTGGCGTAAGCTGCTGACTGGCGCTTCAAGCCGAGGGTGATCACGGGTTCGAATCCTGATGGATCCGATGGATGCGCACTACTGACGAGCCCCAGCTAGCTGCAACTGCAGTCTTGTGCTTTTCCGTACATGTGAACGACTGATTTGGAAGCTGGCTGCTAGGAACCTCAATTAATTATAACAAAATCCCCTACTCACGGGTACATTAATATATATACATACATATATATATGCCATTGGCCGACCGTTTTCCCTCTTAGTTATTCATGGACAATTGCATTTGTTCTCACAGTTGAAGAGAAACCGAGTCACTTTAATCCTGTCCTCATGTATAATGGGTACAATCTGCTTCGGCGATTACATCCTACTTGCAGATGTCACAAAATCTGACGAAGTCATGCAGCTTTCGGTTACTATACCCCATGACGAATATCCTCTTTTGTGAGCTCATACGGTTTTCACTTCAAAGTCGAGCGTCATTTAATCAGCTTGCCTATACTATTGAGCTCACATATCTTTTTTATTTGGCAATCTCTTTCAACTGCACTACAATACTCTGCTTTTTTACTCACCCATACAGACGTGTTATTCAGCTTGCTGGAATGGAGCCATTTATTGGGCGGTAACGACCATTACCCCTCTGGAATGGCTTCAACTGGTCTGAAGAATATCCTCATATGCATCGAGTTAGTGGTGGCATCTGTCACGCTACGCTACGCCTTTCCATACAGTGTTTATGTCTTCCAGTAAGTTATGTCGTCCACAAACGCACTTGTATTCATTCACGTCTCATCTTCTTGTGACGTGACTAGATCCACTTATCCCCCTTGATTTACACGTTTTGGTTCATTATCTTACTAAACACTTATTGCCTGACTGCGCGGTACACGTCCATCTTCTCTCCACCTTGTCATATGATCGAGATCGATCAACGCTTGCATTATTGTATAGGCTTGTGGCATCTGAGGCTGCCATTGCTATCGTCTTGCTTATACATTCTTCTGGTAAATCAATGTGCCCACTTTATTATCCTCATCTTTGCTCTCGCTAGAATGATCAGGCGCTCCTTTTCTATTTCTGCTACCCGTCTTTCCACATGTTTTCGCCACCAATATATTCTCTCGTCTTGCTTGTCATCTGTCGTTCTTTCGGGTCACAGCAACAGGGAGCGCCGTGCAGTGCGATGAAGTTGGATCTCCCATTCCGTTAACATGGATATCGCATTCGAGTTCGTTTCGGATCCATTTAAGCCAGGGTAAACAGGTCTTTCTTCAATCTTCCTGGCGTGGTCACTAATCATCTCTCACGACCGAAGACAGCAGTTAGAGAGCTGCAGCTACTCGCTTTTCTCGCGGAAACGACACCACCCGCGACGTACTATAACCACAACAGCGATTCAGAAACCTGTGCGCTAAGACCCGTAGATATCGAGAAGGCTGTCGATGGACTACAAATCACAGATGCAAGTGAGACCAAAATCAGATTACATTCCTATCGAGATCTGGCAATTCACCCAGAAAACGATTAGATGCCGGTCTCTCATCGGTCGGCACAAATCCACATCATTCATATGCTCCTAGTCAACAGCTTTTGACATCCGAGAAGCTTTCCTGTATGTATACCAACGCGCAAGGCTTACTGAGTAAACTATCCGAAATGCGGCTGCGTCAAGGATCCAAAGCCCTCGATCTCATCGTTATAACGGAGACATGGTTACGCCCTGACATAAGTGACATGGAGATCACACTACTAGGCATGTCCATTGTTCGGCGCGACCGACTCAGCAAAGGTGGAGTGGTGGCTCTGTACTTCCGCAATGACCTCCAATGTGAGCTCATAGAGGATCCAGTCAACACGGTGCAAGATTTCCTTTGCTGCCGTCTACGTTTAAAAGGCGACGACAATTGCTTAGTGGCGGTCATTTACCGTGCTCCTTCCACCACGCCCGAGATGGACTCCCATCTGGCATCCGTAATAAGGAGGGTGATAAACACAATTTACAGTCACATTCTCATTACTGGCGATTTCAACATCCACGCTCTGGAATCCCAAGCAGCTCCCGAACAACAGTTTAAGACCGATCTAGAAGAGTTCCTCTCCAGTTACCCGCTATATGGCCACATCAACACTCCCACCCGATTCTGAGAAAAAGATATGCCTTCGATACTGGATCCGATATTCACTAACAAAGGACTAATGGTCGAGAGGGTGATCGTCAGCCTCCCGCATCGATAAAGCGGTATTACTCTTCGAATACATTTTCTGACATGGCTAAGAGCCGATCTCAGTGGCATTCCTGCTGAGTTTCTTTGTTCCTCTCTATCCCCCTCCAACCACGATCTCATTTCGTAGCGTAATATTATTTCACATCATAATTTTTCTTGTTGCCTAGTAGCCGGCTGGTAGCTTTCCGGAACGATGCCCATCCGTTGCTGGTAGCTCAGTTGGCATGCAACTGTTGTATTTTTTCTTTTGTGTATTGTAGCACAATAGCTGAGGTGTTTCCCACATCTAACTAACGTGTATAATGATGATGATGCTATCCCGTGGAAATCGCTTACGCAGCGAGAATGTGTGTACGCTACGACATATTAGCTCGACTAGGTGAGACAGCCAATGGGGTGTTTCTGGCAGACGAGACACCAGCTAATGCATGGGAACATTTCGTCAGCCAGTTTAGCTCTCTGGTTGCCGAAGCATCAACGAGTAAGATCTTCCGCCCGAGAAACGTGGTTTCGTTTCCGCGAAGCAGGACACGCAAGTGTGTAGCGGTGCGAAACTAAGCCGGGCATATCTACGTACTCTACCCAAGCATCGAGAACTGGATGGCCTGTGCGACCCAACGTGAACACTGGACCCAGCTCGTTCGCGAGGATAGAATGGCGTAACAGCAGAAGTTGGCTGTGCGTATGACCTCAAACCACAAGCTTCTGTATCAACACGTCAACTGTCTACGTAAGGTGCAACGGGAATTCCTCCTCTTCAAACAGCGGACGAACCCATACGGACACCGGAGGCGGCGAATACCCTGCACCTGCAATATGCTGCCACATTTCAGTGCGACCACTGGCCACCTAACCCTCTGGAGATGGTTATTTACCCCCAAAACTCACTCACATATCCTTCACAGCTGTACTAAAAAGTTGTTGATTATGCGCAAGCACATTTCTCCTGGAGTTGCTAATATACATACGAAATCGCTAGCGGCAGTAGGAGAGAGTTTAGCTGGGCCTTTGGCTCGATTTTTTCAAGCCCTGTTTTGAAGTAATGTACTTGCCGTACATGTGCAAACACGGGATGATTACTCCTATTCCCAAGGGAGGTAGTCGTTCCAATCCAGCCAACGATCATCCCATAATCTTACTACCGGTTCTTTCAAAGGTCATGGAAGCTGTTATTTCTGACGCGCTAACCGCCTACTTGGAAGAATTTAACTACCTCGCGCCGGAGCAGCGTGGCTTTTGGCGAAATCGATCGTGCACTACAAATCTACTATAAGCACGATCCAGCTAGAGTGAAGTACTAGACTCTGGCACAGGAGTTGTTGTAGTCTTCCTTGACTTATCAAAGTCGTTCGATCGGTTGGACCATAACATTCTGCTCTTTAAACTCCAGACCTTTGGTTATTGGTGATCCTCTCCTAGGATGGATCAGAAGGTTTTTTCTACACCGGCGCCTGGAAGTACCTTTGCGTGATTCGCTGTCAGATCCTATCCAAGTTGAATGTGGAGTACCACAGGGATTGGTACTAGAACCGCGATTATTTTTGTCGTATATTAACGATATCATAAGCTCTAACTACCTTTTTTATACCGATGACATCAGGATGTGGAGGGCGATCAAAACACCAGGCGATATCACAGTACTACAAGCTGATCTGGATAGGGAATACGCCTGGTCAACCCAGAATCTGCTTAGATTCAATGTGGACAAATGTAGAGTGCTGCACCGACGGCACAAGTTGGTACACTTCTACCAACTCGACAACCAGGAGTTTCAAATATCTTCTGGCGAAAAGGATCGGAGTTTTTGTCCAGGTCGACCTAGGATGGTCGAAACAGGCTGAAAAGGTGTCTTGCAGGGGGCATCCAATGTGTGGGCTTCCTGAAGCGTGCATTTGGACGACTTGACCCTTCGATTTTTCCACAACTTCTTGGCTCATACATGCGGCCACATGTGGAGTACGCAATCCGGGTCTGGCAGCCATGGCTGAGGTGAGATCTCACCGCCTTGGAGATACCCCAACGCCGGGCAACCAAGAATTCCAAGGGTCTGTATGATTTGCCGTATGAATGAAGGCTACAAGTGCTGGGGGTCTTCAGCGGACAGTATCGACGATTGCGCGGCGAACTCATTTAACGTACTAAATTTTAAGAGATCCCAACCACGCGTGCCGCTTCTTACTAGAGCTCAGTCGCAACAGCAATTTGAGAGGTCACCATCTCAAACTGGCAGAGCAACGCAGTCGCTTGGAATGCCATCGGAATTTCTTTACCGTACATTGAATGCCCTGCCGGAATTTGTCATATGTACGCCCCCCCCCCCCCCGACAGAGTTCAAAGCCCGAGTTGACAGCGCACTTATTTCCACTGCACCATCTTACATGACCCATTACCCATTGATAAACACAAGTGTCTGTAAGCGATTTCACTGGTGGACAAAGCACAGATTTCGTTTCACATTTTTCACTTCCACTATGTGTACACCAGAAAGAGACGCTTTTTACCAACATCTCATTTGCCGTCATTTCTTATGGATTTACAATCTACGCTACGTATACTTCAGTGAGTTCACTGGTGTAAACCCAATTTTGTTAACAATTTTTATATTTTGTAGTTTCATCATGACCATCCTACAGGACCTGTTAAGCATTAGCTTTTTTACCCGTATAAAACCATTGTTCCACTGTGTATGACAGCAGTATCTTGGCTTTTAGTTCATCTGAATTGGAGTATATAGCGCAAAAGGTTTTTAGTATCAGTCCTTATTTCCTTTACATAAGATCTATCCTCATTTATGACATTCTTCCGCACCCTGCTCCTTCAAGATCTAGTACTTTTAGACAATGCGGTTTGAGGCCTGGTTGTTGTTGTCGTTGTGTAATTGCACATTTGTCTTTCAATCCGACAACATACGTTTCTCCTAAGATTTTGGATTCGGAACCCTGTCACGATCATCTCAAACTAAACTATGAAAGAATGTCATTTCTACCCAAACTCATGTCAGGTCAAGTCAGTTTCCAAGGACGAAAATAAGCTTCCGCCTAACGAGCGTTCCGTTTCTTAAACAAACCAGGACCCCCAGTACTACGACTTCTGAGTTGTCTTCTTTGCCTTTGCAAAAGTAATGAGGCAAGACAAGAGCAACCTCTGTACCTTTTTGAACTGTGGACATCAAGGCCTATGACAATTGCCAATAAATTTACAATAATTCCGGAAAATGATACGGCCGACCCTTATCCAGGCCAATTTACTAGGCTGTTACAGTGACACATTCAATTAAGGCAGTAGGAAGTTTGTTGTAATAATGAACAACACGATTTTCAAAGAACTTGGCGCTGATATATATATATATATATATATATATATATATATATATATATATATAGAATGGTTGGTTGGCGGCATCCGGTTTCGGATTTGCCTGTCACTGTGCCCAGCCACAGGACGCCTGCGCCTACAGAGGGACCATGGGTGGCTTGCGCTGCACCACCCACAGCTCCATCCACACACCCCATATCCAGTGT